TCTGTGATGTACCAAAAGTGGTTTCTAGTGCTACAGGTATTCAATAAATGATTTGCTGAACTGATACTGAAAATGAGATGACATTTATGAGAACAAATACTTTTAAACTGGCTCTTAGGGCAAATGAAATATTTCAGCACTTGTATGTTAACACTCCAGAGTTGAAATTCTTGAAAAAAAAAAAAATACTCTTCCTGTTAAGTATGGTAGCATAGCAAATTATTCTTTATCAATCAAGAATTCCTTGTTCTAATAACCTACAGGCATCAACATGATAGCATGTACCAGAGAGCCAAACTAATTTTATTTAAAGTGATTTTATTATGCTAGGGAATAATTTCAAACTCTTAAGAAGTAGGGACATCTAAACGATGCCTAAAACTACTTTAAAATTTTGGCAAAATTTCCTTAATGCATAAAAACTGATAAAGGCATTAGAAGGAAAGAGAAATAAGAGATAACATCTATTATCAGTCACTGAGTTATGCTCTCTACATGAATTCTTTCACTTATTTCTCAAATCAACCCACTGAAGACAGTCCTCTTATTCATCCCATGTTACAAAAAGGGAATTGAGGTTTGGAGAGGTTCAGTGAATCACCCAAGATGCCAAACCTCTCTATTAACTTTAGTTCAGAGAAGTATAATAAATATTATAAAAGATACTTGGTAGACCAATCAATTACAATGAGTTTCACTGACTACTGAATTCTAATTCTACTGACATTATTACTATATAATTAAGAAAATTAATAAAATAGAGCACCTTAGAGTATAGCAAAGTATTTGCATAAATATCATTTAGTTCCAACAATCTTGCTGTACGGAGAACAGGGATTATCAACAACAGAGGAAAAACATGAGACTCGGAGTGGATGGGTGACTTTTTTCTAAGTCACACAGACCACTAAGTAGGGAATCTTGGATTTTAATTAAGCTCTTCATCCCTAAGCAATTCCACCATATTATACTGTCTCCCTTCAAGCTGAAATATTCATAGCACCTTTATTAGCTCCATGGAATAACCAGAATAAGCCCTGATTTTTCATACTGCATATACCAGGTACTTGATTATCATTCTAGGAAGTAGATAGTACTATCCTTTATATTTATTTGGCTAAGCTAAATCAAGGTTTAGCAAGGAAAGTTACTTAAATGTCTCCAACATAATATAGCTAAAAATGGCAGAGCCAAAATGCAAGCTTAGGTTTGACTTTCAAGTTGCACACTCACTGCTACCTTGAGCTGCCTCTTACTCTCAAAGCTCTGTCCCTTCTGACAAGAGTAATCCAGGTCCCAAAATTTCTTCTTTGTGATGTGTGAGTGAGATATCGGCCAGACCTGACAGCACCTGACTCTAATATTCTCTTCTTAGATGAGTAACCATGCCACACTCACCTGGTATCGTCACCTCCTAGCATACACTAAACCAACAGGCTGCAAATTGGGGTCTATCCCTACTCTGTCTATAACTAACTAGTTAGGTAACCTTGGGTGGGGTCTTCAAATTGGGGGAGACGACTGTCTACCTAAAGCAGAAGTAGGCCTAGGTGTTCTGGGTACTCTTCCAGGGCTAAGACTCTTCAGGCAAAACTGATAACCTTTTATTTAAGGTGAATTTTCAGATCACAAATGCATGTATATTTATAATGTAAGATTAAAATATAAGCTATAGCAAAAGAGCAACAAGTCAATAAATCTCTCCCTTCCCTGTCACTGAACTAAATGAAAAGTTAATCACAGGTTACAAAAAAGGGAAACTATTAATAATATAACAAGTGTCCTGAATAGTTACTGTTTGGTGGAATTTAATATCAATGTCAAGAGTTCTCTAAATACATACGTCTTATAGAATCCTTCTATCTTCAAGAATGGCAAATCATAATTTTTTCATAGAAGACTTGGTTTACCAAAATAAGCTGTCAATCAAAATAAGCCTCGAACACAGAAACACAAAAAGAACTTGGGCCCAAACCAGCTATAAAAAGAGTTAAATAAGCTTGACTTTTCAATAAAGAGTAGACTATAGTTATTTAATAAATGTAAAATGTACATACTATACTTCAATCTCATATTAAATGAAAAGAGGCAATAAAAGTCACAAGACTATATGGGGAAAAGTTTTTTAACAATAAAGGGGATGAGGTAAGACATTCAAAGTCTAAAGACTTTAGTAAACTACTAGAAAGGCACCATCATATAATGTGACAATTATCTTTCTTGTGACAATTCTTATCTTTCTTATCTATCTTTGTGAATTTCACAAAACAAACTCTTTATTCCAGCCTCTTAGGAGATGTGGCTTATTTCTGGCCCTGCCACCTGTTGTCCTATTCCAGTCACTTCACCTCCTGGATCTCAGTTTCATCTGCTAAAGACAATCTTTCTTTTTTTAAGGCTGCATAATGTTCCATTATACATATAGACTACATTTTGTTTAATAACTGCTGATGGACATTTAGGATGTTTCCATCTTTTGGCTATGTGCAGTTTTTAATTGGCAAATAATAACTGTATGTATTTATTGGGTAAAATGTGAAGTTTTGATATATGTATAGCCTGTAGAAAGATTAAATCAAGCTAAGTAACATATCCATCACCTCACCTACTTTTTTGTGGTGAGAACGGTTAAAATCTATTCTTTTAGCAATTTGTAACATACCTTCTTATTCTGACACATGCTAAAACATGGATGAACCTTGATGACATAATGCTATGTGAAATAAGACAGACACAGAAGAACAAATATGGCATGATTCCACTTACATAAAGTATCTAGAATGAGCAAATTGTTAGAGAAAGAAAGTAGAACAGAAGTTACCAGGGGCTAGGGGAAAGGGAGTGAATGGCAAGTTAGTACTTCATGGGTACAGAGTTTGGAGTGATGAAAAAGTTCTGGAAACGAATAGTGGTGATGGTTACGTAACACTGTGAGAATGTACTTAATACCACTTAAGCACGTTGAGTTATACTTATGCACATGCACAGTACACTTATACTGAATTGTTTACCTAAAAATGGTTAAAATAGTTTTATGTTTATGTATGTTTTACTGAAAGAGGGAGAGATAAACCAAAACTAAAATCAAAACGCCCAATGATCTTTCCTGACCCTTTAACAGTTGAAATGCTAGTGAAGTCTACTTGCACCACGGTTTAAGACTGAGGGATTTAGTAAAATCACTTCCTTACTATTCTTTAATTGCTAACTATGACTCAGCATTTTTCCTAGGTGTCAGAACTGTAAAAGCCTAAAAGAATCCAAGTTAAGGGCTACATCTGCAGCAAGGTGCTCATACTCTCTTATAAGAGTCCTCTATTTAGAGATTTCTCAAGTTGGTTTTCTCATAACCAATCTCCCTTCAAAAGGGTGATAAGTGGCTTTCCCACATGTAACAGAGGTAGTACTTTAAAGCAAGCAAGCACACACGCACGCACACACACACACACACACACACACACACACAAAACAACCCAAAACTTCTCCAAGAACTAACACACACTAATTTCCTTAAAGCTGTGCTGCAATAGCAGTCTTGTGACACCCCCCAAGCATATAATGAAGCTGTTGTAATCACTTTATTTCCCCATTTGGATGGCAGTCCTTAACCAACTCTGCTTCTCAGCAAAACCTCTGGGCTATAAAATCAAATTTAGAGGAACTGCATTTAAACTTCATAATAGTTATACTAAGATAATTGTTTCAACTTCTGGAACAAGGCCTCTCTTCCTGAGGCAAACAGAATGAATCCAATCGTTGGCCAGATGGAATGTATCTGGAATGGAATACTGTCACAGGAGAACTCAGGTATCCAAAGCTCATTTGAAATGAAGAGTGCCCCTCCTACCACCACTGTATCTGTAGCACTCATCAGAGGCTTTCTGCAATGAACCTTCTGTCTGACTTGACTGGGAAAGTTATAAGCTTGGCAAGCGAAGCAAGAAAAAACCGTTTATGTAACTGTAAGTAGCTTTACATTCTGAGATCTCTTCTTGATCCTTCCAGACTACCCTGCACATACACAGCTAAAAATGGTAAAATATAAAATGCAACTGAATTAAATCTGGCATGAGCAAAACATCTGAGAATTTGGGAATACCAACTCAATTTATAAGAGTCCTTCAATTACTAAAGAACACAGATCCAATGGGGTTTATTCTTGTTCAGATAATGTAATGTGGCGGAAAAGATGATGACGATAACCATAAAAGCAATACAAAAAATATATTAAACAAGAGAAACTATTCTTAAAAACTCCTAACTTTTGTAAATATTTCAATTAAAAACAGTGGCTGCTTTAATGCATTTATTTATTATATAAGAAAAAATACTCTTCAAATGTTTTGACTAACAACTTTCCTCCACAAAACTAATTTCTCAGAAAGTCAGAACTTATAACAATTGAACCCAAAGACAGACAGGATTTTCTACTGCATGTTTCCAGGACAACTCAGTTAACTGCTTTTTATTACTATTCATATGAGGAAACCACTGCTCTCAAATTTTATTCACAGAAATTATATTCAACCCAAAATTTAATTGTTTACCATATTTACTGTATATAATTATAATATGAAAGTAGGGTTTCTAATTAACTCTTTCAAGCCTCAGAGACACAGGAGAAACAAACATATATGGCATAGAAAAACTGTTTCCTCTGTACTAAACCAGGATAAACCATATACATTGGTAATGTTATGCTACTCCCACAGACAAGACTCGTTCCAAGTTTTCTGTAAAATATAAAAGCTAAAGAAGCAAAGAAGGCAGGGAGGCAGAGGAGACAGAAAGTGGTAATGGTAATATGACTCACATTCGTCTCTCTCAGACAATGAAGTGGTTAGCGGGAGCGAGCTTACAGACCTCCATCAGAAGGCAAAGGTAGTGAGCTGAGGTTTCAATTGTCGGGAAACCTGCACAGAGATGCCAAGTGGGCAGTGCTACCATGCAGCAGGGGGTGGGGCTGTGGTGAAAGGAGGGAAAGGAGCAGGAGCACTCACTCAGTTAGAAGCCGGTGCAGCTGGTGATAACCTCGCTCCAAGGCCAGGCTCACAGGCGTGGCCCCTTCCTGGTTGTGGATGCTGAGAGCTCCACGGCCACCTGGCTTCTGCAACAGGAACCACGTCAACCTCAGCAGTCCCAGCCGCACAGCAAAATGCATCAATGTCTCCCGAGGGCCAGCATCTGTAAATGGGGTAGAAAATGCACATAAGTGAGGGGCACACGCAAACAAAAAGCAAACAAACAGACAAGTTAGGTAAATACCACTGCCGCCAAGTGCCGAAGATCCTAAAATTAAGCTACGACATACAACGTGAACGATTTTATCATGGCCAGGTAAAATTAGCCCTCAAAGACAGACAAGACAAAGCCACCAAAAAGTATAGAAAGCAAAATCTTCAACAGAAAACAGTACCACAAAAAAGAATCAAGCCATTTCTATATTGTGACAACATACAGTATTTGTTCAATCAATTTTACAGGCAGGCATATAAGGATGACCCATACACATGCTCTTTTCCTTTAAAAACAAAAAGAAATAGAAGTGAATGCAGCCCAACATGGGGATCCGAGGGAAATAGCTGTTAGGACTTAAATGGGTGTATCATAAAGGGTATAATTACTTTTAAAAAGAACACCCAAACAGGAGTTGGCTAAACACTAAAAACTGGTTTTGCCTGTTAAGTACACAGGTCTTTTTATTTCCCCACAATAAGGGCAAATCAAATTGCTGGCACCACCAGCTTTTTTTGTTTGTTTAATGAGAGAAAGAAATGCATCTTCAGGCATAAGACTAACTCTAAGATAATACATTAATAACTACAGAAAGGAAAACATATGCTTGGGCTTATTTCACTTGAAATGAAGGCTTCTTGGTATAGTGAGTCACTCTGAAAGCGGAGGAATGAGGAAGGGCTTTGGAGTCTGACAAATCTGGGTTCCAATCTGGCATTTACCATCTGTGTGACCAGGCATGATTCATTTAACCTCTCCAAACTTCACTTTCTTCTTCCCTAGAGTAAGATACCATCACCTCTCTCACAGTCACTGTAACAAATGACAAGAGGTGGGTGAAATGCTAGCATAATGAGTGGCTGAAGTAGGTACTCATTAAATGACAGTTCTCCTCCCTCTCCCTGCTCTCTGCCCAGTCTTCCTGGACTTCAAGTTCTATTCTAGGTTCACTAACACTACTTCTTTTCTTCCTCAGCCACCCGCTTGTGCCCAATCTGTGATGACAAGTGCTAAGGCCACTGCAGGGCTGCTATATATGGCCATCTATACACACAAGGCTGTACGCTAGTCAACTCCAGGGAGTGGTGGATGGAGCCCTGGAGTTGTGCCTGCCTTCTCCCTCCAGCCTAGCTATCACCTCTCATTCTTCATGGGTTCCCATGGGACTCAACTTCTTCACTGAAAATTCTCAGATTTCTTGGGCCACAGGGTTTTCTCCTTACTTTGAAGTCCTCAGATACTTCTATATGTGAGTATCACAACAGGAATGAATACATCTTTGAAGCTCTGTTTTACAATGGACTGCATTGTTTCCTAATGTCACCTGTGTATTAGTCTAGTATCCCTACTTCCAAGGTAAATTTCTTTGGAAGCAAAATCTATCTTTCATATTGTATGTTTTCCCTACAGAACTACATACACACTGACCAATTCAGGACTGAAAGGGTGTTCAAGCAGAGGCACATAGCTGGAAAGAAATTGATGCCCTAGAAGAAACAATTATTTATAAGTGCAGATACAAATTTCAATAATCAATACTTGAGCATGTGGCAAGGCCAGACAAAAAGACAAAAAGGACCAGGTGTGCTGACTCGCGCCTGTAATCCTAGCACTCTGGGAGGCTGAGGCAGGAAGACGGCTTTAGGTCAGGAGTATGAGACCAGCCTGAGCAAAAGCAAGACCCCATCTCTACTAAAAATAGAAAAAAATTAGCCAGGTGTGGTGGCACACGCCTGTAGTCCCAGCTACTCGGGAGGCTAAGGTAGGAGGATGGCTTGAGCCCAGGAGTTTGAAGCTGCAGTGAACTACGATCATGCCGCTACACTCTAGCACTCTAACCCATAGCCCAGCAACAGAGCAAGACCCTGTCTCTCCCCAAAAAAGGACCAAAAGATCAAATACAGCCTGGTTAATTCCAACTTTACTGGGTGATACTTCCTTGAAGCATTTGTTTCTTTACCTTCCACCCCTTTCTGATCCCTTATTTGCTCTGAGTCACCTCACTATTTGAGTTAAATGCTCAAAAAATAAGACCAGGCACGTGCTGAGAAGCTGGCACCTGATTCCTGCACTATATCTCCCCCCCAACCTCAGTATAAAGTCTTTAGCAGCAGGCACAGAGAAGAAGATATCAGATAAGAAGAAAACACATAGTGAGGACCTGCTGAGCGCCATGCACTGGGCCATGTGGTTTATCTCAACTTCTTCCATTCTATCTTCACAGTAACCCTATGAGGTCTCATTATCCTCCTTTTGCAAAGGGAGACAAGTCTACAGAATTAATAACTTTCCCACAGCCAGAATCATGATTTGAAAGTTCTTCTGTCTTGAGTCTAAAAAAAAATGCCCTTTCCATTATTCCACTGTCTTTTTGTAAAAGAAAAAAAAAAAAATAGAAGAAAGATAATCACACAAACAAGCTAATGTGGTTTAAAAAAGCACTCATTCATATTTTCCCCAACACTTAACTCTTTCAAATGTACACATAATTTGAAAGATTATACAACAAATAACCAATACTTACCAGATAGATCCTATAATTAATGTTTTTCTGTATTTCCTTTATCACACATCTATCCAACTATCCTTCCACTATCCATCCACTTTATTTTTAAAATAAAGTTTTAAAAATTTCAAAATAAGTTGAAGGCACTTCACCCCCAAAATACTTCAGCATGCATATCATTAACTAGAGTTCAATATGGTTATAACTGTAGGTGATTTACATACAGTAAAATACAAACGTACACATGACTTCATAAATTTTGACAAATGCATATACCTGTGTAAGCCAAACTTCTATCAACATATAGAACATTACCAACATCTTTTGTGCCCCTTCCCAGTTAATCCCCTTATTCCTATCCCTAGAGTTAACCACTTGTTCTGATTCATCACAGATTAGTTTTGTCTGTTCTAGAACTCTGAATAAATGGAACTATAAAATTTATACGCTTGTATAAAACTTCTTTCACTCAGTGTAATGCGTGAGACGCAATCATATTGCCACGTGTATCAGTAGTACATTTCTTTTTATTGCTGAGTAGCAGTCCACCGCATGCATATACTGTCGTTTTAGACATTTCCATTTGATCTTCATAGAGATTATGTGAATTTGGTTTGTAGAAGAGGCCAAGGTCCAATGGAGTAAACAAATGAATGTAGCTTCTTTTAGTCCATGTTTTGAGAGCATGAAAGTTTTTACCCAACCTATCTTCATTATTTTTGTTCCTTTTGTCTGTTTAAACTACAGAGCATAAATAATTTAGGACCAATCTCTATTCTCTACTCCCTGTATCAGTACTTTTTCTCTCATGATTATTATTTTCCTCTGTATTCTGAGAGTTATTCATATTTGTTTTTTAGATCACTAACTGCCTGTCCTACAATGTCAATTGAGTCCTTTGCCCCAGTGTAAATTTAATTAAGCTTTGGGATTCTGGATGTACTTACATCATTTTCACCAACTCCCTTTCCAGGTTTGCCCTCATCATGATAGCGTTTTTTTTTGTTGTTGTTGTTGTTTTTTTGTTTTTTTTTTTTTTTTTTTTTTTTTTGCAGATGTAATTAAATCCCCTAATCAGTTGATCTCATAAGGGAGGTTATCCTGGATAATCTGCATAGGCCTGACTGAATCAGTTGGAAGGCTTTAAATGCAGAGCTTAGCTTTCCCCTAGAGAAAGAGAGAAGAGATTACACATGCAGAGGGAAGCTTCGGGCGTGTACGGTGGAATTCCATCCTGCTCAGGACCAGGACCTCTCCTTCCTGGCTGCCTGAGGACCATAGCTTTGGCCCACGCTGGTGGGCTGACCTTGACTATGACAGGATTCCCTCCCCTTCCTCCTACCCTATGAATTCTGAACTTGCTTAGCCAGCCCCCACAATCAAATAAGCCATTCCCTGTAATAAATCTTAACATATACTTCTCCTACTGGGTCTGCCTTTCTACTTGAATACTAACTGATACACTAACTAACCTATTTTTCTCCTTGTTGCTTCTTTCTCTAATTTCATAATAGATCTAACTTCTTCTGTCTTTTAAAGCACAAATGGAAAATGTCTTCTATATTTTTCTTTGACTTCATACTCAGAGAGTCTCCAACCGAATACTATTATTTTTCCCTTTTCTCGATGCTGTGATGTTTCACAGGCCCCATGTTGGTTGGTTTTCCTGCTAACCGTACTTAAAACGGAAAGATCTCTGTAGGCCTAGTTTCTACCCACAGAGAATGCAGGTAGGAAAAGTCTTAAGCCCCACTTGCTATCTGCTTATATACCTCCCACACACATTCCCTCAGCTCTGCAAAGAAAGTCTAAGTGCCTAGTAGGCATTCAACTGTGATGAGCCTGCTAGAGGGGTGCATCTTTTTCAAACTGTCAGAGTCTCTGACTAAATAAAATGTTCCGAGTTCTATAAACTGTATAATAATCAAGGACTACATGTACTTTCTTACCCCATCAATCCACCCACCAAGCCCTGCTCACAGTACTCTTTGAATCTGTATCTACGGGATTCCAAAATCACCACTCTTTCCACTATTCTGGATTTCTCTGAAATAAACCTGGAGTCCCACACGATGCAGGAATTCTCATACAGCATGAGCAAGGAAGGAAAACAGGCCAGGGTAAGAAAATAGGCTTTTGGAAAAAGGAGACGTGTAACTCTGTGACAAAACTAAGGTTTGAAAGGCAACAAAACCTTCTGGAGCTAAAGCTCTGCTACTACTAGGCACTGCTTGCCTTGGAGTCCGTAGATATTAATCTTCTGCCAAGAAAAAAAAATCCATTAGCAGTCTTTTTATATTTTATTATTTTCTTTTTTAAGCAGTGATGATGGCTAGAAAAATATACAAACACTAGTGTAGCTAAGAAGAAATTTCTACAGAAAGCTATCAAATACTCTGAAAGTAGTGTGGGAACCAAGTCACCAAATGATTACAGTTGAGAA